GTCTCTTCTTGATCCAAATACATCTTGGGTGGTTTATAACCCTGAAGAGCACAAAACAACACCTGAAAGGCATCAAATAGTACAAAAGCACACACGTGGTCTATCTTGAGCAAATTAATCAAATACTTATGAAATATAGTCAAAACTACTAAATATTCATTGATAAGAGGAAAAAATGTATCAAATCTGGAAGTGATAAACACTATAACTCGAGTGTTATCAGAAATACCCCACACTTGAACTTTGATTATCCCCAAGCAAACACTACTCACAATCACACAACTCAATGAAAGCTAAAAGGCATCACTTAATTTCGATCTTAGGTAGTGGATCACAAGTAACTTACAAGGTTAACAAGAGCACGAGAGAATTCTAAAAACATCAATATGCAAGAACATCATGCCACTTAATCCAATCATCCACAACTAATCATGCATTAGAGTCTCAAAACACAAGGGTTAAGCTTTTGATAAACATTTTTAGGCTTTGAATGCTTCTACAATCAACTTGACATACCCTTTAATCACTTTTTCCTTTACAACCACATACTCATTTTTTAATCCTTTTCTTGATTTTCTTTTCTTTCAAACAACTAAATTTTTACGAACAAGGGTTCGGCCTAGTGGTATTACCACTAGCCTAGAACCTGGAGGTCCCAATTTCGAATCACTTAAGTAGTACCTTAATAAAAAAAATGTAAAACCTATATCAACCTTAGCAACAAAAAAAAACTAAAATTTTCTTTTTCTTAACTTTTCTTATGGTGGACAACTCTTTATAGTTTTACCCTTATTGGTTGAGCAAGAACTTAGAAGTACCTATACCTCAATTCGTGTGGAGGGTCAATGAAACTAAGAAGCGTCAGATGTTTTACCCATGCCCTTAAGAACACATCCTCAAGTTGTCAATCAATTCCACAGGTGGAAATTTTACTTGTACTAGAGAGGAACTAGCATCACCTTGTAGGACTTCCCCACTATAACTCAACTAGTATCTCTTCCAAAACTGATATGATGCAATGTAAAGATGCATCACATGTTGGGTTTACCCTATACTTTATTCTTCACATAACATGGCAAATTTTTCGAATGAAACAATGTCTTCGATGGGTAGCAATTTTTCATTTTTCTAAAAGGTATAGTTCACCCTTGGAAAAAACTTCTAAAAAGTGGGAGACTACTTTGCATGATAAGAAATCTTTGAATGAACTAAACCACATAACATTCGAACACAACATATAATTATTAATCTCATTGACTATCACATCATTCATAGTCACTACCCTATCCGTCCTAGAATGAATGACATTCTCTACACTCATTGATCCAAAGTAGGATGAGCAGTGAAAAGCTTGTGGGGATGACTAAAAGTCAATAGATAGAAAAATATCTTTAATTTTTTCAAAAGGATCATAAAACTAGTATTTTCGAATTTGAATGACTAAAAATATGTCATGTATCAAGCATAGTCAAGTAACATGTATTAAGCAATTCCACTCCACACTTTAAAATGAACATGGTACTCAATGGACTAAAATATAGTGAGCTATGGAAAGTTTGAAAACAAGGCACCCAACTTATTCATATAAATTTTGCAAGTAGGGGCATAGGCAGCAAACACCTATCATCTTTAGAAAGTCTTGCTAGAGATCACACTATTGTTCGGCGTTTACTAGATGAATCTATAGTAAAATGGTACAAGGATGCGGTCGATACGGATGAAGACGCCTCAACCTACGAGGATGAAGATACACTTCATCCCTCCCCACCATCTACACTCGATGAGGTGGAGAACGACGGGTCAACTTCAACTATTGAAAACCCTAAACCACTCCTTTCAACACTTCATCCCTCTCCTACGCAACTTGCAAGCCATGCACTATACCTGCTAACTCAATACGAGTTATGGATCCTCCTCCTAAATTGACAGAGAAGGCTTTAATGAGTCGGCGACCATCCCCTCTAGGACTCCTCCTGCTGCTACACAGCCATTTCAAACTTAATCATTCATAAAGAGACTCATCCAACCTTTCAGAGAGGCTTTCCATGAGATGAAATTTCTACTCTAGGTGCTCCCATTTCATAAAATCCTTCCCGATGGCCTGCTGAATTTGTTGATACAAATGTAGCGCCTTACCTTTAAGCTTGGGGGAGGGGTAAGCTGCCCTTCAAACAACTAAGTGTTCCTATTCTTCCATAGACCCCAATAGGCCATGCAAAGAGGGTTGGATCAATCCTCTTAAAGCGTTCTGCTAAGTAGTGGATCACCCAACTAGCCATACCATCCCGGAAGAAGAGCTCATTCGGTTTGTCCTCGAGGAACTCCGCCCAAACAACTCTTGAGAATGGACAATCTCGCACCACATAAAGTGTGGTATCTGCATCTTCAGGCATGATTGAGATGTCGACAGATGGTGCATGTACCCCTCATTATTTTTCAGTAACCTCTACCAACCAGAAGAATGTGTGGATTTTTTGTGTTGTGGGGGTGCACTAAATAGCCACCTAGATCGGATGAGTGCCACTTAGTTTCTCTTCTTCATTCCTTAAATAATATATTGTTTTTTGTGAGAAGAATAGAAAAAGAGGTATACCTCCAAATTGGGATGTCAGAGGGAAAAAATCTTGGAGATACATGACATTCCACTCCCCATTCAGCATCATATGGGCCATGCTCGGCGACATCGCTTTCTTTGGTACATATACAACAACTTTAGCCATCTTGGAGGCATCTATCTTACCAGAATAGGGCTTGCCAGCCACTCCTAATGTTCCACCTAGTGGCTTCAGGAGCAAGTGTTTACTCGAATGATGCCTTTCCAAAGATTTGAAATGCAACCACTCATTCTCAACCGCAACTCCAAATTTGTTTCCATCATATATTTTGATTTTATTACCTGAATCCAAAAGCTATTAACTTTTGTTAATAAGAGCCAAGAAATTTTTAGCATGTATGCCTCATTCATCCGTGTGGCATTACACAACCCCAGCTCTCCTTTTTCTTTAGGGTGGCAAATCGTGTAGTGTTAAAAAAGGTGAACCTTCCTCCCCCTTCTTAGCTGCCCCAAACAAACTCCATGATCTTTTGCCAATGTACTCACGCACACTAGCCGATATAAAGGTTTTTTGCATGGTATATGTTGGCAGCAATGCGAAGACTAATTGAGCAAGAGTGGTCCTTGTTGCAGACGACATAATAGCTACCTTCTAGCTAGCCAGCTGTGAGTCATCTTGTCAACCACAGTAGTATAGTTGATCTTAGACACTCAGTCGTGAATAACCGGAACTGCCAAATATCAAATATCATCCTAGATTCTTGGTGTCCTGGATACTGATGGCTGAGCTAATGGTTTCCCCTACTACTGACACATTCTTGGAGACGTATATTCTTGATTTGAGCTTGCTTACTTGTTGACTAGATGTTGTGAGATTGAGACATAAATTAAACATTATTTGCACAAGTAATTGCCCAAATTATCATATTGTCAAATTACAAAAGTCAACAAAAATACATAGTTGCATGTTGATTGATAGTCAAGAACTTGATGGGTCGAAATTACCACTATTTTCATGCAGGTGGGGAAAGCAAAATCCTCCCAAAAAATGACGGGTATGGTATTTCTTTATAGGTCGTTTGGATGCAACGTTTTCGTTCTATAACATTTCGAATCAACATTATGCATTATTTTGGTATGCAACATTTCATGTTGTATTTCAGTTTGGAATGTGGTTATTGGGTTTAATTATCTTGTTTGGATAAAACATTCAAAAATTTTGGTATTTCACCATTTAAAGAATGGTTGGAGTGATAAAAAAAAGGTTGAGAGATGAACTATTTGAAATAACTAGGAGTAGATAGGTATTTTAACAACTCACAATGAGTTATTTCAAGCGCTTCACAAGTGGTGTTGCGTCAATTGGAGGCTCGTTCAATTGATGATGCTCATGTTAGTGTCTTTTACGCGAGGCTTGGTCTTTGTTAGATCAATTACCATGGGTTCATTGTGCGTACACTCCTCGAGATGCGAATCGGATAACCCATTTAATGGCACGTCATGTCCTACGTTATTCTGGTCTTCACAGTGTACTTTATGATTTTCTTTTCTTGTTTATTAGATTGGTGTTTGGTCAACGTTGGTAGTGAATCAATTGTGGTACCCTACACTCTCTTTTTTTTTTACACCCACACTCTTATATTATTTTTTTTGTCGAAACCCACTTTAACACTTTAGGCAAATCCCACATCGACAAAGCACATGAGAGATCCATGGTTCATAAGTAAGAAACCGGTTTTAAATGACAAGACGCGTTTTGGGGTGAAATGGGGGAGTTTTTGTGAAAACTCTGAAATTAAACGTGCTCAGTGTGGAGTACAACAAGGATGGGTGACCCTATGGGAAGTCACCTTGAATCGCACCCCAAGTCGAAAACCATGAGGGTCCAGGCCCAAAGCCGACAATATCTTCGTCGGGAAAAGGTTCGGGATGTTACAAGTGGTATCAAAGCCTCTCTGCGTCCTTCTTGAACGATGGTGGGGCAAACCTCAACGAGGGCGTTGAGTCCCAAAGGGGGGGGGGGGTGAATGTAACACCTTAGGCAAATCCTACATTGACAAAGCACGGGAGAGATCCATGGTTCAGAAGTAAGAAACCGGCTTTAAATGACAAGACGCGTTTTGTGGTGAAATGAAGGAGTTTTTGTGAGAACTCTGAAGTTAAACGTGCTCAGTGTAGAGTACAACAAGGATGAGTGACTCTATGAGAAGTCAACCTTGAATTGCACCCCAAATTAAAAACTGTGAGAGTCCAAGCCCAAAGCGGACAATATCTTTGTCGGTAAAATGTTCGGGATGTTACACCAACACTCTTATCTGATCCATTGCAACTTGCAAGGATGATTATGACAAAGAAAAAGAAATAAAAAGAAACCCGCCCAATTGGGCCTGCCTAAGCCCAAATATGATGGGAAAGCCGAGCCCGAATCCATTTGTATCCGATCGCCCGCATAAGGAGTTCCGTCGTTGCAGTTCTTTCCCCCGTTCCCGCTCACATTGAACAGCAGCGGCAGTGCTCTTGCTCTCGTTCTCTAGGCGAAGATTGGGAATCGCGGAGTTTCAAAATCCGAGAATCTGCTGAAATGGAAGATGGAAACGGAAGTGATTTAGAGAGAGAAGAGGGAGATTCCGTAGGGGAGTTGCTGCGGGACCGGTTCCGCCTCTCTGCCATCTCCATAGTCGAAGCCCAAGGTTCATTCCCTATCCCTAATTTCCCTCTTCGCTGCTACTGTTTGGTTATCGAGAAATTGGGGGGAAAATCGCTGGGTCATTAGAATGCCTTCTTATGAAGCGCTTGCAGCAGTGATTTGCATTAAGTTTGAGAGTTGAATGTTGAAGATGGTGACACTGCTTTCTCATCTTGAGCAGCGAAGAAGAACGAGATAGAGATATCTGAACCAATCACAGCTTATATCTCAGACTTGGCCTTCAAATTCACAGGTACTTTCTTCTTGTTTCTTCTTTGTAATTACTGCCAAACCTCTGTCTGCAATTCTCATATTGATTAAAACGGATTGATTCATTCAGTCATGGTTTAGAATTGGACAGAGTTGGTCTAATAATATTGATTGAAGACCTTCCTCTTAACATTTCCAGCTACCTTGTGTGTGTGAGTGAACCCTTGTGCTAAGTGAAGAAAACTGTGCATCAGAATTGGTTAGGCCGTATCATTTTCTGTTTCCGTTATCTCTTTTTATAGGTAAAAATAGAGAGTAAAACATGTTTAGTTCTCATTTCATATATTGTTGTGGGAATTAGAGTTGGCAACACAATAGAAATTAGATGAACTCAGTGAAAGCTTTCTCGCTCTTTCTAAAAGCTGTTTCTTGTGAGAACCTTCAAGTTGTTGGAATGGTTTTATTAAAGAGAATTTATGATCAAATTTTATCAGACCCACTTTTTACATATTTTCCCTCCATTTTATAAAATTCATTCTCGAAACCTTATTGCCTATTATTCCATATATTTGTGTCTCAATTTTCTCATAACTTGCCATGTCACATTATTTTTATTTTTTTTCATTTTTCCAAATTTTGTCTTAGTCTCAACATTAATACTAAATAGAGCCAAAAGAAGTAAGTCTAAACGTGTTTTTATTTCGGGTTATCAACCTCTATGATTTTTCAAAAGTAACAACTGAATGCATTTCTATTTTCTATTTTCATGTTGTTGTGGTTGTAAATCTGTTGTCACAACTGTACTGCAACCACAAGCGCAATAAAACTATGCGAATTAGGAGTAGCTTGCTTGCTCTAGTGTGATGTGTTCGTTTAGACCAACAACTCCTAAACAGAATTGTTATGAAGTTGGAGTGAACACCAGCCTTGTTGTCTGTGGAAGCAGAACAACTTGGTAAGGACGTAGAGCTGTTTGCGCAGCACGGTGGGCGCAAATGTGTGAACATGGAGGATGTCATTCTGTCCAGTAAGTCTTGTGTTTTGAGCTCTCTTCGGCTTGTGTTTCCGTGGTTTCGGGCCCTTTTGATGTATTTAGGTTAGGTCTACTTTTGATTCCACTTTTGTTGCAGCTCATAGGAACGAGTATTTAACTTCATTGTTGAGACCCTTGAGCAACGAATTGAGGGCAAAAGAGCCACAATCTGAAAGGAAGCGAAAGAAGACATCATCGTCTAAAAGGGAAGACGCCAACAACACCAGCAACAAGGGCAACAATGTTCCGCATTTGTCCCCTGACCAGTGACCACTAATATAAGATAGAAACATATATCTACAAAATCCTAACAAATGGAAGATTTAGAGTTGTTCATTAGTATGACTCAGATTTAATAAGAGACAAAGAGGAGCATTCTGATAATTTTGGTACCCTTTTATATTTTCTTTGGCTGACACGGATCAGAGGAAAGAGTACACCTTTGACTAGTCAATTTTATTTTTATTATCATTTTCGTATCATTTAAAATTTAATTTTTAAAACACGTGTTGGTTGTAGTCTTGTCATTATCATATCATCATGATGAGATGATGATATGATGACATACCCAGTAGTAGAGTTATAATTTGAAACTAGGTATGTCTTTTTCAGGAGTCATAGTTGGGGGGAGTACTTCTAAACTCGCGCCCTACTGTGTCATCTAACTTGGTGCCCTTCGCAGTTCTGCGCTACACAAACGACTCTATGATTTTTTACCCAAGCTTTGCTCCACACGGGAAGTGTAAAACTAGCATTGCGCAAATTTTTAAAAACTCACCATAACCCTCTCGTCGGTAAACTAGCTTTCCTGTCCTTTGCAATGTCCAACTGTCCAAGCGACCTTATATCTTTCCTCGATCGAATCTGAATACAAAAAAAAAAAAAAAAAATTAGAAACATACCTTTGTAGTCAGGAAAAAATTTAGAGAAGGTAAAAGCTTACCTTAGAACCTAGTCTTCGTCATCTTCGAAACCATCAGAAATCCAAGTCTGAGACACTTTTCTTTTTCTATGCACTTGTCGACAACTAGAAACTCAAAATCGAAAATGAAAAAAAAAAAAAACATTAGAATAAGATCCAGAACTGAAAATGAGAAAAATAAATTAAAAAATAAGCATGCACTCTTAGTTCCGAACCCTTACTAAACTCCGACGTCCATCGACGTCGTCGTCATCGATGTCAATCTTGTCATCGTTGTCACCTTTCATTTCCTCCTTTGATCACGTATGATCGAGCTTGAATTTTTATTATGATGCTCACTCACTTCTATCCTAACGATGCCAAGTATAACAAAGCTAGGGATGTAGTAAAACGGCTCGGTCATATTCCACGAGGTCTTGGATCTACTGCTACTTCAGGACTAGTTTACTATCTAACCTAAACGATAACTGGGTGTGTACTAAACTAGTGGAGCGACTACCAGGAGTTTTAATTCGAGTATAATGGATGTACTTGGGGCTAGTTTCTCCCTAACCTTAGATAGACTCAGATTTGAATACGAATGAGATGTTCTTTCCCTATGTGATGTTGGATTCCTCTTATATCTCTACTAGGGTAATGGTACGTCATGTCGCCAAGAGCACTTCTAGTAGGCTTCTAAACTCAATGGTCATGCAACCGAAAAATCGCCAGGGCGGTAAGACCAGATTCCTACGAGGGTAAACCCAAGGACAAACACAACTTTAACTCAATGTCATGCAGTTCAAATCGAGTCTCAATTGATATGTATTCTTGGCTTGACCTAAGGGGATGGTCACCTCAACCTCAACCTAGACCAAGAGCTAGTACTATCCACTTACACTAAAGCAAAATAATGGAATCATAAAATATCAATTTACCATAAATAGTGGGAGAGAATTCATATATTCATAATCAAAACCCTAACATCCATCTAAAGGTTCGGGGTTCTTACCCCAAGAGCAAAGGGGATTACCCTGTACAAGTGGAGGAGAAAACAAGAAGAAAGAGGAGGGAACCATTGGCTTCATAAACACTAGCTAGAGGCTAGCCTTCAATCATCAAGATGACTCCCTTTCTTCTTCTTCTCTTCCCCTCTTCAAAGGAACCCTAGGTTCCTCTCTCTAACCCACATATCTTTCTCTCTCTTGAAGAGTCAAAGCCACATAAAATCCCTAGGCTACCTTGTTACGTCAACAACTCATCTATTTATGGACTTTAGAAATCTCGGGCAAAATCATGGTTGAGGAGCAGAAGATCGCGACTATGATATGTAAGAGATGCATGCGATCCTTTGACGTAGTCATTTTGATATGGGAAGGGCAAGAGATCGTGCCCTGTTGCACACGGCTGCGAACAGTATCTCGTGGCCATGAACTTTCTCGATGCTTTGGCTAAAGGGGGTTGCGATCCAACTGTCGAGACCTTCTATTCTCTTTTTGTTGCCTCCTGTTGAATTTCATGGCTGATGGCCCTGAGGTCGTGGCCGTGGTCTCCCTCATTCCAAATCACACGACATTGTCCTAGATGATCACCATGAATTTGGTGTAGTTGTCCATCTCCCGTGGCAACCTCAAGCATTCTTTTCGAGAGATGTTGCCAAAGAGTGAACCTTGTTGGGGTGAAGAAATCAAAAGCATTATTCTCCATCGTGGTTAGGCATGACCTAAAATCTTTTTCACTTAGATGAAATTTCGTTTTCCATTGTGCAATTTTCTTGATTTTTCTTCATCCATCCAATGTCGTGTGATTTGTTGATGAGGCTTTCATGTTCCCTGAATCAACATTCTTGATTTCTAACGTTGAGAACATATGGACAAACTCCATACCTTGATCTAATTTCTTCGATTTGACTGCTAGGTTGGTTGGGGGAGTACTAATATCTTGAGGCATATTTATGATGAGCTTCCTATTTCTTGACTAGAGCATAACTCTTTGATTAGCTAGCTCTGTCATGGCTCATGCCGTAGCTAGGAAAAGTCTCCCTAAGATAATTGATAGACCGTTAATTGCACATGTTTTTACCCCTATTCTTACACCGTTTGAGATGTTGATTCTCGTGTTTTAGGCCGATTTCACGCTAGGTTGTTCTTGTTTGTGATATTTCAGGTCCTAGTACGTGAATGAAGGTTTGGGAACGAGTTCGGGGTCAATTGGACGAAGATCGGACGTGTGGCAAGAAGCTGAGGATGCCACACGGGCACTCCTAAAACCCACACGGCCGTGTAAGGAACCCATGTCGCCGTGTGGGATTTACCGAGCCTTCACACGGGCATCCTGGGAATTCCACACGGCCGTGTGTCCCTGGCCGTGTGGGAAGCCTGAAGTCCACTTAATCGAAACTCCGCGTTTTGACACTCACACGGGCAGCTGGGTAAGCCACACGGCCCTGTGGCCTTACCGTGTGATTGGGAAAATCTGGGTTTTAACCCAATTTCGAGCCAAAGGAGAGGGAATCGACTTTTTGGAGCAAAAACAGAGCCCTACAGAGAGAAAGTGCGAAGAACACATCCTAGAAGCGATCTTGGAGCTGGGTTTCATCAAATCGAGCTTGGAGATCATCATAGGAGTGAAAATCATCAACCCAGAGCAGATTATTCCCATTGTTATGAGTATGACTGCTTTGTATTCTGTTTTCCCCTCTCTCTCTAGGAGTAGAACTTTCTCTCACTTGGGTATGAAGAACCCTAGTTCCATGTGTTAGGGATATTGATTGTAATGACTTGGGATTGTTAAACTGTTTGATTATAATCAAATGATGCATGATTCATTGAATTAATTGAAGTCTGATCAACTTTTCTGGATTTCTGCTGCAACTTGAGATAGATAGAATCTGATTAGGTTGTTAGAGCTTCATCATTCGGTAGTAGTAGATTGGTTATACGAGAGTTAGTCAATCTACTGCTTTGTACTGGAATCCAATTCCAGTAGTGGAGTTATGTGTTCATAGCCTCAGCCTTCTATCCCGGTGAAGGTTAGTCGCCTGCCGGGTAGTTGGACTGAGAGGGCTTGGTCAGCTTAAGAGATTCCAAGCTACTGTAGGATCTTCCGCAGTTTAATCAACAGTAAATCAACCCAGGGTAATTACAATTGAGACCTAACTAAGGAGCTAGGGGGACTCATTCCCGAGTGACTCTTCCTTTGCTTCAGAAAACCGAACCATTTCCTGCTTTCTTACTGCTTTTACTTAAATCAACAATCACTTGACTTAGTTGGCTAGATAATAGATATTCACGGAGTAGGCAGTAGATCTAGACCCCGGGTTGCCATTAGAACTTGCCTGTTACTGCATTTCCAGACTGCGATTACAATTGGTCGCAGTTTGGTGTTGTGTTTAGCGTGTCAATAATTGGTGTATTTTCTTCGCTCTTCGTATCCGATAGGATGAATCCACCCGGTAGATACATTTTCCCACCTTCAATCGAATGTCTTCAATGGAGCCCTTAGAGTGGACTATTTGTTCCATCAACCATTTGGATAGCTACTTTTTTGTCTTCAATCCCTCTAGAGACAACCTCTTAAACATGTTGTATGTCATCATATTCGTGCTAGCCCAAAGGTCGGCCACGGCTCTATCGGTTGATATTTCTTCAATCTTGAAGGGATAAAGAAAATACCCATATCTTCGCATTTTGATGGTGCCTTGTGGTGAGGTAACGGTTGCCTTGCCTCATCTGATCCTTCTATGAGCATATCTTCAACCTTTGATGTGGTTGAGGGAGAGTAGACTACTTTTTGTTCCTTGAGCGTTGGTTTGACACACTTTAAAGTTGAAAATGTATAGTTGCTCTTCGTACCCTGATCGATTCCCATTTGTTCAATTTTTCCCACAATCTTCCTATAGGGTTTATTGGAGTAACTTATGATGATTTAGCTAGCATAAACTTGTCCTCCAAATCCCCACATGAACTGGTTGTCTGAGTTTTTGTAGGGATGGAGCCTCTTCTCGAGACTAACTCCTCTTTTCCCTTAGACAACATTTGTGTAACGAACACCAAAGAAGTTGACATGTTCTCCATAACGGTTGAAATTCTCTTTTGCTCGACTTCTCGAGATTCCATATGATGACTTGTTCGCCTAACAAATTTATCCAAGCTTTCAAAATTCTTCTAGCTTACAACTATCCATTGCATCATTGTTTCCAAAAGTGTGCCTATTCAACTTTTGAGTTCTTGATCACGAAATTTTTGAGTAATCACCCATCACTCGACCAACTTCTCTTTCAATATCTACACATACTTAGTAACACCTGTGAATGCAACAAAGAAAATATATGTACAGAAACAGAAAATGAATTTCTGAAAAGTAAAAATGGGTAAAGTAGTAACGTCATCCTTTTTCACAATAACCCAAAGGTCCCCGGCAACGGCGTCAAAAACTTGATTGCGCATGATCAAGCTTTAATTTCTATTACAATGCTCACGCACTTCGATCCTAACAATGCCAAGTATAACAAAGCTAGGGAGATAGTAAAGCGGCTCGGTCGTATTCCACGAGTTCTTAGATCTATCTACTGTTACTTCAGGACTAGTTTACTATCCAACC